AATTGCCCCATAGTGCCCAGGGATGTGCAGGTTAGGGTGGATTGGCCATGCTAAGTTGTCCCGTAGTGCCCAGGGATGTGCAGGTTAGGGTGGATTGGCCGTGCTAAATTGCCCCGTAGTGCCCAGGCATGTGCAGGTTAGGGTGGATTGGCCGTGCTAAGTTGCCCCGTAGTGCCCAGGCATGTGCAGGTTTGGGTGGATTGGCCGTGCTAAGTTGCCCCGTAGTGCCCAGGGATGTGCAAGCTTGGTGCTTTCAACCTCTTGGGAGCAGCAGAAAAGTGAACGTTGGCACACTGCCCTTGCTATGATGTTAACACCCCTCGACACAGGAGTAGGCCGTTTTTGAGCCTTCCCCACCCATTCAGCTCCATTGTGGCTGACCTGTGCCTTTTTCTCACCTCCATCCCTGTAACCCTGTACCTCTACGTTAAACATGCTCAAAGACTGAGTACTGTGTCCTAGCAAATTCCAAAGGTTCATAAGCCTCAGTAAACTCAAAATCTGCTTGTCTCAGACCTTAGTGGCATCCCCTTTTAGTTTTAAATTGTGCCCCAACCAGGGGGAAGTACCTCACGAGCAACTCGCCTGTCTGTCCCTTTAATATAATTTTGTAGATCTTGGTGCAGTTACCCCTTGTTCTTTGAAACTCTGGGGAGCACAGGCCCAGTCTGTCTGTACAGGACAGCCCCCTACAGCTCAGGTGGGGTCCTGGCGGAGCCTTTATCGCTGTCCCTCGATGGCAGCAATATCTTTTGTGAGAACCTGCGCATGGTTCCTGTTCCCATCCAGCCCCCAAATTAAGCGCAAGTTGTGGGTGCAGTGGGGGAGTTGAAAGTGAATTGGAGCTGGGGTGGGGGTGGGGGTGGGGGTGGGGGTGGGGGGGAGGAGCATCCGAAGGGTTAGAATGTGAAAGTACGGACTGAGAGACGCTCTAGGAGTGCGTCCGAGCAAGAGCACGAGGTGCAAGCAACGCCAGAGGAGACTTAACCACTGCCTCAAACTTGTTTCGGATGAGTTGTGCTTACTGACACTCCCTGCTCTGCTAGACCAAAGGGGGCTGCTGTTTGAAGGAGCTGGCAATGAACACCTCCCACCTGTAGCTCTGTTTCCATTGCTTTGGGTATCGGCAGTGCCCACTTAAAACCTTGGGGTGTCAATAAGCCCCACTGGGACGTTCCAAGAAGAGCTGTTGATTGATTAGGTTGAGCCGGGACCTAAATCGTGAAAAGGTTACGGTGCAGAAAGAGGCCAGTCTGCCCATTGTGCCTTTACTGGCTCTTCAAACGAGTGCCATTCCCCTGCCTCCCCCACCCTCCCAGTACCCCTGTTGACTGTTTCTATCCAAATAACTATCCGCTGCCCCTCATCAAGCAGCTCTGTTGAACCTGCCTCCTGCACATTTACAGGCAGTGCATTCCAGACTCTTAACTACTCACTGGGTGGGAAAGTTTATCCTCGCTTAGCCCTTGCTTCTTTTGCACGGTCATGTTAAATCTATCCCCGCCCCCACCCCCCACCTTGTTCTTGTTCCTTTTTACAACTTATCTACTCTACCCAGCCCCATTCACACTTTTAAAAACCTGTATACCAGAATGCTCGGCCGCATTCTCTCTCCCAGGGAGCAGTCCCAACTGCTTCATTGAGGTTTCTCATCCCTGGAACCGTTTCCTGTACGGTGCGCCATCCCCCTCTGATGTGTCCCAGTCCTGCCTGCAGTATGGTGAAGCTAGCTACGTCAGCCCTGCGAGGATCCACTGAGCTGTCAGTTGGGAGAAGATGGAGCCACCTTCCTTCGTGTCTGAGAGAGAGACTGAACTGGCGACTACCAAGCCCACGGCCCGAGTAATGGCTGGTCGCTGGTGGTGCCCTTTGAGTAAAGCCTGCGAGCCCGTGTAAGGGAGAGTCTGCCCGTGCTGTAACAAGTCCGAGACCCGTATCCCCCCCGCAGCCCGTTGACCCGACTTCGCGTAGCTTTCTCACGTGACGGTGCATTTAATCGTTGTCCCTTTTTCTCCCTCCAGTTCAAAAGGCTTCAGGGGAAAAGGAATCGTGGCAAGGAGGAGGTGAGCTTCCTGGAAATTAAAGGTGACGAGCAGCTGAGTGGATCACAGCAGTGGCTGATGAAATCGCTGTCCGAGGAGAAGGACATGAAATCGTTCAGCAAGGTATGGTTGTCGCGTCGCATCCCCTCCTGGTAACGTCACAAAAAGAAACACAAGAGTAGGCCATTTGGTGGCTTAACTCCCATGTCCCAACCTTCGGCTCATATCCCCCAAGACCTTGGCTTGACAACAATAAGTGAACTATTTCCCATTTAACCTGATCCAATCTGACAATCCCAACACGGTCACAAGAGCAGATTTTTTGGGGATCCAAACTGGGGAAAGTTTGGCTATCTTGTTTAGCCTGAGGAGCTTAATCGTTGAGTCTGACCAGTACCGAGATCAACAGGTTTTTAAGAGGTTGCAGATTTGCACCTTGATTAATGCCCTCGAGGGAAGGAAACTGCCCTGCTTGCGTGATCTGGCGTATGCTCCAGACCCACAATGATGGGGTTGACTCTTAACAGCGCTCCCCCCCTCCAGCCCCATCCCAGGTGATTAAGGAGGTGTTAAAAACGCTGGCCTAGCCAGCGGTGCCCACATCCCGTGAATGAATCAGAAGAAAACGCAACAGTGTCCAAGAAGACAGTTCTTAAGAAACGTTGCAAAGCAGGAGAAAGATGTGGCATAAAGGAAGGATATTTCTTCCCTCCTCATGACCCCCACCTCACCTTGAGCTTGTGGGATGGTGGTGAGACTAGAACCAGGGATACTGCCTCAGGATAAGGGTGTGCTGTTTTAGACTGAGGGGAGGGCTGTACCCTCGGAGGGAGAGGAGGGGAGGGGAGGGCTGTACCCTCGGAGGTTGGGGAGTCTTTGGTGATCTTGCGGGAGGCGTAATGGTACTGCCACTGTGTTAACGATCCAGAGACTAACACAGTGGGAGACCCGGGTTCGAATCCCACCCTCTGGAATTTAAATTCAGTCCGTCACCTCTGGGATTGAACATTAATCTTGGGGAATGGTGACTATGATGACTGTCATGGGTTTGTTGTGGGCGCCCCACTGGGTTTACAAATTTTGAGGGGGGTGGGGGGGGACTTGACGCAGTTACCCAGTCTGGGCCTACACGCAGTTAACTCTGTAGTGCTCCCCCTGAAATGGCTGAGCAAACCACTCTGTTCAAGGGGCGGTTACTGATGGGTAACAAATACCAGCGGTGCCCACAAAGAGGTGGAGGGGGACCCACCACTGCCACCTTGTTAAAGCAGAGGGACATGGCAGTCAGTGCCAGTTTATCCAGCGAGGCCTTAAATCCACTAACTTACCCTGTGGTGTGTTGGCTAGATCGTGTTGGTAGCCCATCGACAGACCACTCTCGCCCATGCTGGTCAAAATTCAAAAAGAGACGTCGGCATTTCGATCCACTTCAACGCGTGGACAAAACCTGCTGAACATTCCCGATAGGAAGGATATTATCGAGCTGGAGAGGGTTCAGGAGAGGTTCACCAGGATATTGCTGGGTACGGAAGGTTCGAGTTATAAGGAGAGGCTGGATAGGCTGGGACGTTTTTCACTGGAGTGTAGGAGGTTGAGAGATGACCTTGCAGAGGTTTTATTAAAATCATGAGGGGTACAGGTAGGGTTAAAGGTAGGTGTCATTTCCCTAGGATGGGGGATTTCAAGATTAGGGGGCGCAGTTTTAAGGTGAGAGGAGAAAGATTTAAAAAAAAACACATGGGAAAATTTTTTAGAGGGTGTTCACATGTGGGCAGTTACAATGTTTAAAAGACATTTAGATAAGTAGATGATTTGGAAAGGTTTGGAGGGATAGGGTCAGGAGCAGGCAGGTGGGACTAGTTTAGTTCGGGATTATGGTTGGCATGGACTGGAAGATCCATTTCTGTGCTGTATGACTGTGCGATCCCATTAGACTGACAGCCAATGTAAAGTGAGCAGTCACAGGGGCTACTTTGCACCTGAACTACGTTTGATGTATTATTATAGAGATTATTAAGAGAGAGGGTAAAAGGTGTTGTTTTGCATGCCAACCAGAAAAAAATCATACCTTACAATAGTATCTCGGGGTAAAAGAACAGATGTAGAATGTAGCATTACAGCTACAAAGAAGGCGCAGAGAAAGTTCAACTCTAACAAACGAGAAGCCTGTTTGTAAATCGGATAACAGTGGGGAAGAAGTTGTTCTTGAATGTTGCGTGAAGAGACATGCATTCATAAGTGAGGAAACCCCCATTCTCTCAGACCTCGTGCCTTTTTCTTAATTCAAATTATGCAGGAGACTGCAGTCCCCTATTGCTTTCTCCAGTCGACTCAGCGTCCAATCAGTGCCCTTTTCTCTGGCAGTGTAAATCGTGTGATTGTTTGCAACTTGGTATTCTTGCAAACGGTCCTGATGAAGGCAGGGTGCAGTCCCACAGCTGCACTTGCTCAGGTCTGTGGTTGTGGTAGGGATCAGTAAATCTCCCACGGGCGCGCCCTCGCTCGCTCGCGCACTCCCTCGCTCGCGCGCTCCCTCTCGGCTGGCTGAGTTCGGGTAGAATTTAATTGGTTGACGGTGATGTTAATTGTTTGGCTTTTGGTTTGGTAGAAACGAGGGGAACAGCCGACAAGCCAGCAGCGACGCAAGCATCAGATCACCTACCTGATCCACCAGGTGAGGGTCATGTTTACAGCTCACAGAACCCATTCCCCCCACCCCTGGGCACGGTGCCACTCTGTGCAGCCCTGTGTGGCAGAAGGAAGGTCTGCAACCTATCCCTGATCTAACTTCACCTCCTCCAGCCCCCTACACCCCCTCCCTATCCCCGTCACCTCCTCCAGCCCCCTCCACCCCCTCCCTATCTCTGTCACCTCCCCCGACCCTCCAAGATCTCTGCTGCTCCAATCCCAGCCTCTTGTGCATCCCCTGATTCCCATCGCTCCGCCACTGGGGGCTGTGCCTTCAGCTGCCTCCAGGGTGGGGGTGGTGTTGATAGCTCCGAGCTGTTGAGTTCCTTCATGAACATACCCCCCACCCCCGCCCCCCCCCCCCCCCCCCCCTCCCCATCTTCGCCCTGGGGCAATAAAAGTGAGCATTTGCTCTCCTGTCCCAGATGTCTCCTCGCAGCACTTGGGGTCCTGTGTTTG